TCTGTCCGCAGGGTCCCTGGGCTGCCACGGACAGAGGCTGCTTGGAAACACCCTCCCCTCCCCGCCCCATGCTGCTGCCTCTGATAGGGGCATAAGCCAGAGAGCAATAACAAGAGAAAGACAGAGGCAGCAAGGGGCGGCGGAATGCATGTAGTTGACAAGATTAACTGATTACATGTTGGCATCCCTAGTGCCTGGTTTTACACCTGGCTACGTAAAAAGCACTAGCATTGTAAGTCAGTCCAAACTAAAATGTCATACAGATTATATACTAGTTTAAAGTGCTCTATCTACTGTACACTGCAGTGTAAGCACGCTCTTTCTATTCCAACTGATTTACAATTATATGGTAAAAATAAGAGAGTCTGCACTTTTTCTGTAGTAGTGGCGCTGGGGCACTTTTTTGTATTTTTATGTCTGATTTTGTAAGCAAGTAGATTTTCAGTGAGGTGACTGTTGGGATACACAAGACAGACTCCTAAAAGGGGCACAGTAGTCTGGAAAGGTTTAGAGCCACAGGTCTACAAGATCTGCTCTAGGAAGCCTTGGAGGCTGGTCTCTGACCTGTGTCAAGCAGAGGTCTCAGTGGTCCCCTCTGGTCTGGGGATCTGACCAACTTCTAACTCCCTTCTACTGCTTCCCTCCAGACTTGCGCTGGGGAGGGCTGTGTGTGCCATAGGGGAAGGGAGCTCATCCTGGGAGAGCTATGGGCTGGGCTTAGGGTGGGAGAAATTGCTGCGAGGGCTGTGCAGGGGCAGGGGGCTAGGTAAGTTGTGGGGGGAGGAGGGAGAGGAAGGGCATCTGTGCATTGGGAAGGGGGTTATTCTACAGGGAGATGGCTCATTCCAGCAGGGGGCCCTGTTCTGTACCTGCAGCTGGAGCAGATGCTGGAGAACACAGCCGTGCGTGCCCTGAAGCAGCTGATTCTGCTGCACCGGGAGGATGGGCCCAGCCCCTCTCGCACCGTTGAGTGGCTCAACATGCGTAGCTGGTGCTCAGGACACTTGCACATCAAGTGCCCACGCCGCGTCTTCTCCCGCCGGAGCCCCAATAAGCTGGTACTTTCCCTCATGTCCCCAGGGCCCTTTGGGCTGGTGCAGTATGTTACCACCTGGCCAAGCTGTCTCTGCCAAGGAAGGCATGAGCTCTTTGGGGTGGTCACAGAGCTGCTTTCTCAGAACAGACCCCAGGCTAGTCTGGTCCCTTTGGTGTCTCTGCTGCCTACCATGGCATTAGCCTGGGATACGACCTATGCCAGGCTGGCCTCAGGCTTGTTGGCATCATCAGACCTCAGAGCGGGAGGTGCAAAGTCCCTGTTGTAAGGGGGCTTGAGGGGGCTTTGTGTAAAGAAGGGTTGCTATGAGGGAGAGCGGGCTCTGGGGGTACATGTGCTGTATGGAAGGTGGCACCTGCCTGACTCTCACTCCTGGCTTTGCAGAGGGAGATGTACGCAAAGGTCTTTGAGAAAGACGCCGACCGGCACAGTGACTTCTCACGTCTGGCGCGGGTCCTGACCGGCAACAGCATTGCCCTGGTGCTGGGAGGAGGAGGGGCCAGGTAGGGCCTCAGGCATTCCTCTGGCACTCCTTTGGACCCTGG